GCATTCCATTGGGTCACCTCTCTCTGGAATACATATGCCCAAACCCTTCTGTGCACAGACATAATCAGTAGATTTAGGAAGATATCAAAGCCTATGTATTTCAGGAAAAAATTCCAGGAGACTCATATATACCACCACTACCCCATTTGGGGGAAACAAAAAAAACTCAACTTTTGTCAGAAACTTTCCCAAAAAATAAGAAGGGAAAAAAACTAAAGAGAGAAACTCCAGGTTACAAAATCCAGTTAGTGTAGTCACACTCAGGATTGTGTCTGAGAAAAAAAAAAAAAAAACTGGTAACAGTAAATATTAGTAAGAAAGGCATCAATTAGTACTTTAAGTATTCTTATTTCTTAAGACTTGCTCAAGTGCATATACTATTGAATATTCATGATATTGTAATCTTGCTAATTATAATAAATTATAATTAATACTTGGCCTTCTATAGTAACATGTTTTACTGTCATGTAAAAAGTAAAACTGAGACTCTGTCTCTATCTCTGTAAGCACACCCTGATAAGAAGCCAGTGGTTTAGGCCATGTGGAAATATTCAGTACCCATCTGGAGGTGGGCTTATCAAATTGCCAGCTAAGAATCTTATTAGAAATCATCTAAATGCCCACCTTGTAAGCTTAACATCCTATGGCAAACACAGAACACCCTTCTACAATCCCCACTTTTACATTACTTCATTGACTCTTATTCTCCTGACATGTTCCCAGCTGCCATTTCTAAGCGTCATCTTCTTCGGTAATTCATCTGGCAAATAAAGAAGAGAGCAGGAATGCCAAAAAAGCCATGTCCGTGTGTTACAAAGGGGACATGGATTCATTTAACTTGACAGGCATTGGCAAAGTCATGCCAGACTTGTAGAGAAGGTAAATGGAGTCAGAGAGCCTTCTGGTCTCTTTCACAGTAAGTCTCGTGAGACGCAAAAAGACATCGTTTCTCTTTGTGGTTACTTGGCATCAAACCGAAGCTCAGCTTAGATTATGAGCATACATTTCTACCTAAAGTTCCCAAAGGGCTAAAGTTGTTAGAACTGCGTAAGACAAGGGTTGACAAAGCTTTTTTTTAATAAATACAGTAAATCTTTTAGACTTTGTGGGTCATATTGGCTCTGTTGTAACTACTTAACTTTGCCAGTGTAGTAGGATGGCAGGCACAAAGTGTAAACAACATACTCTATTTTCATGTAAAAACTAAAACAGAATCATTCTATCTGTACAAGTACACCTTTACACAAAGTATTAAGGTGTAAATGTAAAAGTGGGATGATAATATGATTATGTTCCAATAAAGCTTTATTTACAAAAACAGGCAGGGGGCCACATTTGGTCAATGGGCTATAGTTTGCCAACCCCTGACCTAACAAGCTGAAATCACCCAATTACACACGTAGCTGGAATGGATACACAAGCATGAGAAGATGCAGTGGTATGTCTGAATTCGAAGTCACAAAAGGCCTCGAAACAAGCTCATCATAATCGTAGAAGTAGTTATCTAGTATTTTCTTCTTAATTTTCTTCTCTGCTTCTTCAGCAGGAAGGGCAGGAGTTTCCGAATACAGAGGTTCTAAAAAATGAAAATATGTTAACTAAGAAGAGTGTGTGGTGAATCCTAAAGTCCTATTTTCCAAAGATAAGAGAAACATACAAAGCCTGACATACTATTACTAATGGCCTGGATGCATGATGCTCTCCACCAATAAGCAAGGCAAGAAGAGCCAACCTACCTGTGTCAGGGGTGAATGCTGAGGTCTGGTCATGGTTTTTGTAGAAACTGCAAGAGCAACTCCCAAACAATTCCAAGAGAGAGTTACTCTCACTAATCTGGGGTGGAACAATCATTATGCAAGGGGGCTTCTAAAAGTTTGAGGAAAACAGAACTAAGAGGTAATGGCATTTTTTTCAGGAACTTTTTGAAGTTCCCCCTCAAACCATCTATCTCCCACACTCCAAAAGACCAAATTTGAGAGTTCTTGATGTGATTATCAGAAATGAAGTGTATAACTCCACAGCTGCTAAGCCACCTCTTCAGAATGTATGTGATGTTTCATTTTTAATCTCTCCCCATAAATAAAAACCCTATGCAGAGTTGCTATGAGTCAGAACCAAATCGACGGCATTTAACAACAACAACAGATTTTTTTTTTCTTTCTTTGAACTTATAAATGTTCACATGAAGAACTGGGCAATTTGTCTTTAAAACAGTGGTAATTACTAATAGAAAAAGAGTAATACCTACCTTCAGTGCTTTCTATATTATCATTTTGAATTAGACTTGAACTTCCTTCCAAATACTCTACATATGAGTCTTCATCCTCTGAATTCGACTCTTCCCCTTCAGTAAATGTATCATCTGTGGTATCTTCTAAAGGTCTTGCTGTAGCTATTAAAAATAATTTAAGTAATTGCTAAATTTTGAATAAAGCAATTATTCCCAAAATACCTAACACTTCAAACTTGCTTTAAATGTAGTTAATTTTAACACTCAAAAGTTCCTAATATAATTATTTCATTTGATAAGTCTTGTAACTTAAAAAAAAAATAAAATAAAGGAAGCCTTTTCTGTGAGTTAATCTCCATGTTCACTTCATTTCCTATCACTTAATACTTGAAAGAGAATAGAACAGTAAGAAAAAAAGCTAGTATCCTGATACCATTATTTGAATTCTATCCTATTTTGCCAGCATGTACAGAGAATCTGCTATGCTAAAGACAAACAACAGTTAAGGACATCCTTTTCTGAGTATGACTATATCTGAAGTGATATCCCAGGCTTAAGAATCTGGGCACACAATATTGACTTTAGCAGATAAAAGGAATTAGAATGGAAACACAGTGGTCCCAAGTATAAGCCAATATTCAAATCAAGGTCAATCAGGGATATTTTGTCAATAGACAATGCCATGAAGGTCAAAACAAGATTGAGGGAACTTTCAGAAGAGGAAAGAAGAAATTACCGTACTAAAGCAGAGTATGGCCAATTTGATGATCTACCTGAAATGTAGGTAAATGATTAGGAACAAGGCCAAAGACAAATATGAATAAGATAGGAAAGACTGACCATACTAATTAACTGGGTGACGAGGCAGGGTTCTGTATGATTCATGTATTTGGATGGAAAGAAAATAATGCTAGATACTTAAACAGGCCAAATATCTAACTTGTTTTTTCCCAAAGAATGGTCCCAGGGAACTATTCTTCACTAACACCATCGTTTAACACATAACTTTAATTATTTCTCAGGACTGTCTATTTCAGCACTTCATTTCAAAATTAGTGTGTCCATAGCTTAATACTCTATTTGCTGACCTCTCTGTAAAAGAAGTTGAGACTGCAAAGAACTAGGATGAAGCAATTAATGATAAAAGAATTAGGAGTTGTGGTGTTATGAAATATTTAAAATGTCTCTTCTAGCCATAGGTCTTTTTAACTCCCACCAAATGATCTTTTCCTGATGGGTCTGGGTAAGAGAAGGTGGGAGAAGATACTAATAGGATACATGATTCAGTTGTGGATGTTAGCAGAGTTCATTGTTTAAGTATAAAAACTTGACCCTCTAGCCTGGTTATAAAATGAGCCATCTCAGAAGCAAGAGGGGGAACCTCACTGCCATCAAAGAAGAAGAACCAGGAGTGGAGCGCATCCTTTGGAGAAATCCCTGTGCAATGTACTTCCTCAATCCACGGACAGAAAGCTGTGCTACCAAACAAGTGGCAGAGGAGCAGCAGTAGTAGAACCAAGAACCAGAGCACAAGATAGAACAGTGTGCTTTTCAGATCACGAAGCAAGGAAAGCTGAATGATTTGGGGCAGGTGGTTTGCTTTCTGGAGGCTGGCAGAGTGAGGTGCTTCCAGGCACTTAATTAGGGGAGCCAGGTTTGCTGGCCCATGTAGCTAGTGCCAGGTGCCTTCAGAAGTTTATGGTGAACTAGTTGTCTTGGGAGCATTTGTCAGCAGCAGATAACAAAAAAAAAAACAAAAAACAAAAAAACCCAACATGGATATTCTGAGCCTGGTCAAAGAGTTGCTCCACTGATAGAAAAAAAAAATCTAAGCAACTTGAAAGTTACTAGGGATTTTTATACTTTTAAAAATTGACTAGTAAAAAAAAGGGTTCTAGAACTTGCCCAGTGAAACAGGCTTCTTGCGGAGCCTTTGTAATGTAAAGGACCTTAGGTGAAATCCTGAGCCCCATCCAGAACCTTCTGAGGAGGAACATTCCCACTTAAAAGGACATGCAGACCAGCCTG